ACATATCTACCACGCATCCCTACCATTTACCTTATGCCAACAAAGGGTTCAAGATCTCACATTGAGAACTACCGAGGTATTGCTAAGCTTTCCGCCATTCCAAAGCTGCTTGAGTTCCTTATTACCAGGCAATTGCAACACCTATGCAGTAGTCTGATATCTCCATCGCAACACGGTTTTTTTAAACATCGATCAACATTGACAAACCTTCTCGAGTTCTCTTCTGTCATTAACCGAGGATTTCAAAGCTCACTGCAAACAGACGTAATCACGGATTTTAGCAAGGCTTTCTACTCCGTGAACCATTATTTGCTCATTCACAAGCTTTCTTTAATTGGTTTCCCCACTAATCTTCTAAACTGGATTTCGTCATATCTTTCTAATCGCACACAACGTGTTTTGTTTACTTATGTGTTGTCGAATGTCGTTAATGTTACATCAAGAGTGCCACAAGCTAGTCATTTAGGTCCACTTCTGTTTATTTTATTTGTGAATGACCTTCCTCAAGTTATAACATACTCCTCTACACTAATGTACGCTGACGATGCTAAAATCTATCTCTCCTACTCTGATTGGTACCTGCACAAACGCCTTCAACTCGACCTAAGCGAGTTGCAACAAATCTCCTCTTTCTGAACCTTTCTAAATGCAAAACTTATGACTTTTTACCGTCGCGCTCCACATTTTGTCTCGTACGCTCTAGGAATTCATGCCCTCGAACGAATTTCGAGTTCTAATGACCTTTTCGATCATAGACTGTGTATTAATAGCCATATAGATGCAACTGTAAATAAAGCTAAGAGTGTTCTAGCGTTTATAAAGCGTTGGTCCAAGGAGTTTGATGACCCGTATGTCACCAAAAGACTGTACGTCCGATTCTGGAATATTGTTCTTGTGTGTGGAGTCCACAGTACAAGGAGCAACAGTCCATTCTCGAGTCGGTCCAAAAACAATTTTTAATTTTTGCTTTACGTAAATTTAACTGGGACTCGGATAGAATCTTGCCACCTTATCAATCGAGGCTACAACTTTTAGACCTCCCTTCATTGCGCCATCGCAGAATTTTTAACGGCGTTATGTTTGTACACAAGCTCCTAGTTGGGCTTGTTGACTCAGAAGCACTTCTTGGCCTGCTTGACTTTTCTGTTCCCCTTAGACCTACCCGTACCTTTCGTCCGTTTCGTTTACCCTTCTGTAGGTCTAATTACGCTCAACACTACCCTTTTCGAATCTTATGCTCTAATTATAATAATCTTTATCATACCCTATCCCCTGAATTATCCCTTAAAAATATAGCCAGTAAGATATACCTGTTCTTAAAATCCTCTAATTTTTAATTATTTCCTATATCCCCTTTTTTTCCTTTAATTTTAATCATAACTTATGTTAGCAGATAGTTGCTAATCTTCAATAAATAAATAAATAATGAATTGTTTCCAAATGTCATGGCTGCCGATTCAGAAATAAAAGTGCTAGCTTTGATATTGAAGCACTTGGAGCTAATAGCTGAAAAAAGTAGGATACACATATAAATGAACTGTTAAAAAATTACATCATTGCATAAGTGGAATCAGCTTTAATAAAAAAAACCTTGTCCTTAAAAGACATTTTTATTATTCAAATAAGAGAGATATTATATTTTATAGAAATAATTTAAAGTAATATATTAGGGCTTCTTTTTTTTCATGAAAGCTTATGAAGTTTTTTAGGTCAGTTTTAGAGAGTGGCCAATTCTTGACAGGCAGGCCTGCATTCGTTATGAGTATTTGAACAACAACAAAATTACTAAAATGATACAAAATTTAAGCTGTCGCCACAGTTTTGTCCAAAAAAGGTTTTGCCGTATATAGTACCACAGTTGTTCGACTAAATGCTAGTAGAAGTGTTTAGAGACAGCTCCGAACACTAATTTTGCAGCAAGGTTAGTAACGTCTAATTTCATAACATCATAACCAAAACATAAACCTACTCTTAACTACATATGTATGTACATATACATCTAAACACACTTACATACTAGAGATCTGCATGAATTATAAAAACAGGCATTCGAATTAAAAATGCTCAAAATGAATTGAGTGAATTCGAATGCTATGTCAACAGAGTTTGAGTGAGTTAGTGCGCTGACGTAAATCTCATACACACAACATTGAAACGACAAGGCACGAATTGAATGAGTGAGAGTGAGGGCAGTTTCCGAATTCAATCGAATGCATTCTATTTTTAAACCCGTACTCAAAAAAGAGTTAAGGGGTATATTAGATTTGTGGTAAAAGTGGATGTGTGTACCGCAGAGAAGGAAACGTTTCCGACCCCATAAAGTATATATATTCTTGATTTGCATCAATAGCCGAGTCGAGTGTCCGTCTGTCCGTCTGTCTGTCTGCCTGTCTATCTGTCTGTCTGTCCGTCTTGTTGAGCGCCTAGATCTCAGAGACTATAAGAGCTAGGGCAACCAAATTTGATTTCCAGACTCATGTGATATCACACTGCTACAAGTGTATTTCAAAATTTCGCCCCGCCCCCTTCCGCCCCCACAAAAAACGCAGTATTGTAGAGAATGACCATATCTACCAGATTGCCGAATCTGAATTAGATCGGATCATAATTATAGCCAGAATGAAGAAATTCATTTTAAGTTGCTTCCCCTGCCCCCTCCTGACAACGACAACGCAACTCATTTTCCTTCTCGCTCGCACACTCTGCCGCGTTCAGTGCGCGAGCAACCCCTAGCGGAGGAGCTGTAGAATCTAAATGGTACATGTTTAATCTACATGTTAGATGTATAATATACATTGTATATGTATATGTAGATAACATATGTAGCAAAAAAATGTAAAATGTAAAATTTTTTTTTTTCTAAAATTCTAAAAAATCATATGATCAAAAATGTATATACTGACTGAGTACGGGTATAAGTAGAGTCGCGTCCCCAGAAACGACTGACACGTTCCTTCTCGTTTTTGCTGTTTTTGAGTATACATATTTGTTTACGTAAGGGGAGCAAAAGAAGCAAGGATAATAAAGAAAATAAGGAAGAGCAATGTAGTTTTTGTACAGTTTTTATTTAAACTAAGTTGGCATGAAGAAAAATAATTTTGTTTATATTTTCTGGATTGGTAGATAATATGCAACGCTTTTCGGTGATCAAGTTTCTGGCATCTGAAAAAGGCTCTTTCAGAAGCCGCACTACTCGCTGGTATGCAAAATATTTTGCAGCTTGTTTTATGCAACAGGGGGAAAATATCTTTGTAAAAATTCCACCACGCTAAACAGTCAAAATCGGGTTTGAATATTACGTTAATGTTTCTATATCCTATGCATAAAGTGCACGGCAAAAATTCGAGTTATTCGAATTTCTGTCTCTGCCATTTCGTTTTGTGCACTACTTAATTCTAACTCATACAACCGAATGTTGAAAAGTGTGAAACACACACACACTCCCATTCGTATGAACTCAATTCATTGTGTGTGTGTCACTCACTCAACTCAATTCAATTCGAATGGATTCTACTGGAATTTTTTTTTGAATGGAGCTACGCAGATCTCTATTACATAACTAAGTTAACATATCTTCATCTTTTAAATAAAAATGTATTCTTTAAGAAAACATGAAAAATCATTTTCTGAGGTTTATTCTTATAGGCGAAGAAATAATAATTATCAAAACGAAACAAAACGAAAAGGAATGTGTAAGTCGCTTTTGTGGACGCGATATAAATTTTTGAGTTTATGATGTATGTAGAATTTTAAAATAGTTTACATTTATTTGCTACATCTGCTATCTATATCTCTAATATCGATTACACATCTAAAATGTAGATTATACATCTTTTCCGCAAAGGTCGTGCATTGCACAGAGCAGAGTCTGTGCGAGCGAGAAAGAGAATGAGTAGCGTGGTCTCGTGCTGGAGGAGGTGGGGGAAGACTTTGTCATGAGTGCTTCCAAAGACAATATAAGTATAAGATGCGTAACGCCATACGAAATTTCTGCACACGAATTTTGCATGCTGGCTCTAGAGCTGGCTCCAGGCTCTCTTGAAATTTTTTAGAGAGAGAGAGAGCGCTCTAGAGCCAGCCGCTCTCTTGTATGCATACAGCATACGAAGGCACACGAAGTTGGTTCTTTGCCGATGCGACAGCCGAGCCGAGTCGTCGCGACGACTGTATGTGTGCACATGCATACGTTTTTTACAGCGATGTCGAAATATACCCTTCACTTTATAAGTGTAAGTTAATTTTGCAAGACGCTTACCACCCCAATATTAAAAAACTGTTATATTGTATATATCCCTCCAACGATAATTTATTTTAAGATGGTATATTCGATAATAATGATCGGAAATACATAATATATTTATTACATGAAATTTCATGAATCACATTGGAATAATTGCCATTAGGGTATTCAGGATGCGACGTATTCAACGCCGGTATATAATTTCGTTTCTCAACTCATAAAAAGGTTTCCGTCTCGAAAATCGTCCGCTTCGCACAAGTACGCACACATACTCACTTGCTGTTCTGTGTGTACTCACACATGCAAGCGGATTCAATTTTTAGATTCGTACGCTCTCAAATTTGTGCGAGCGAGATGGCGCGAATTTCGTCGCTGGCCGAAAAATTGTCTTGCATATGGCAATTGAAATGTATGAGCGTTACGCATCTTATACTTATATTGTCTTTGGTGCTTCCATGTGCAAAGAACAATGTACATTTTTAATTTTATGAGTAGCCAGTTCCGAAACATTGGCGAAGTCGCACGAATCCAAGTCATCAGTGTCCGACATTCTTTTGAAACACAAAACACCATGACACCAGATTTTTATATATATAGAGAAACTTATTTATCACAAATAAAACAGTGGGAAAATATAAATCCAATATCTTTTATCGATACCAAGTTAGCACCAACCCTAAACTACCAAAAACCTTAGCAACCAACGTAGTTCGTTTTTTTGTTATTATATTTGTCAAACATTATTTAGGTGACAACATTTCATTTTAAATATTTACATATATATAAGCCTATATATATTTTTATCAGAAAAAATAATATAATTATTTTAAAAGAATGTCGGACACTGATGACTTGGATTCGTGCGACTTCGCCAATGTTTCGGAACTGGCTACTCATCTGGCTCCTGAACCGGAACAATTGGCTATTCTTTCTCCGAATCATCCGCTTCTGTACAAGTTTCAACGGTCATTAAAAGATCATCTGTTACGTACTAAGCAAAAGTTAGAAAATGAAATTGCCGAAATTAAGTACCAAGTTAAAGCAAAGGAGCAACGACGGGAAGAGCAGGGGCTAACATTATATGATATGCAGCATAAAATGGGTTTTCAAGAAGAACAAATTAAAGAAATATCTTTAGAAATCGATATGCACGTACAAAGCCGTCAAGTGGAAGAGTTTGGTGTGAATACTATTAAAAAAAAATACGAAGAAAAAGAAAAACTAACTAGATCTCAAAAAGCATTATATCATGAAAGGATGGTGGAACTGGAAGATCTGCAATGCTTAGGTAGTAATATAAAACAATGGGCTTTCGATGTAGAAGATGAAGTGAAAAATGCTAAACGCATTGTTAGCAGAGATGCTCAATTACAGAGACAGCTATCTCAGGAGAAACGAAAATCCGACATTCTATTTTATCGGCTAGAAATGGAAGTTAAAAAAAGAGAAAGTGAGCTACAGTCAATTTGTGAAGAGGAAACAGCAATAAAAGATATAGTAAGCATTTTAAATATGAGTATAGCAGATGCCAACACTGATCTAGAGGTATTACAAAATGAGCATAAGCGGCTTACTCAAGCATGGAGCGAAGTTATTATAGCAATACAACTAAGAGATAAAATATTATTTCAAGTTCAGGACAATATGAGGTAAGGTTAAAACAACTAATCTAACTAAAGAAGATGAAAATTAAAATATTTGATTAGAAAACATAGAGAGTCAATAAAACTAAATCTGGCCGGCATTGAAGCAATTAAGAAACAAATTGCAAAGGAAATGGAACTTAATAGAAAACTGGAATCATTTAAGCAAAGATTAACCGATGATACAAACTCTTTGCGGCGGGACTGTAAGTTATTTTAAAATCTACGCGCTTATGTTAAAGTTTTTTAAATGTCTTATATAATTACAAACTGGCGTGGTGGAATTTGGGTGTCAGGGTTTCGTTTGGTTTCGAAAAGAGAGATTAGAGTTAGAGTTAAAGATTCGTTTAAATACCCGCCTAAAACGCATTTCACTCATAGAAAGTGTTACAGTTTTGGAAAGGTTATTGAATTTCTGGTTTATCTGCATTAGCTTAATTTAAGATATAATTTATTTGAATCTCTTTATTTCAATAATACAAACTTCTATTCAAATATTTAGTAGTATTGCCATTCTGTTCCGGCGCACAAAACCAGATGGAGCTAAAAGTTGTTCACAATTCAATTTTGTTCGGATGTTTAAATTAGATCGATTTAATGCTGTTAAATTATAAATACTCTTGCTTGCTTGCTTCAAAATTGTAAGCCATGGTAAATTAAATGTGGAATCAATGAAAATTAAAATTTTGTAGAATTAGCTCTGGGAAATATTCAGACAGGCTCCGGTTTTCAATATCACAAAAATGTGTGATTTAGTTTTATAAACGAAAAGTTAGGCGCTCGCTCATTTGTAAAAAGCAAGACTTTTTCGTTTTCAAAACGGCAACATCTTTCTCGCCGAAATGAAAACTAAACGTCTTTTTATACAACAAATCGAATCTTAATTGCTAAAGAAAAAAAAAGATGACTTATTTGATGCATTTCATGAATTTGACACCATTACCAGGAAATTGTGCCCTTTTTATAAATAATAGTGAATAGAATAGTGAAGTAGTCCGAACAGTTGATTATTCTCTTTTAAACATAACATGGGCCTTTTTATATGAGCGGGCACCAACTCGTTATAACAGCAGTCAATTTTGCGCTTAACAGTGCAGGAGCAAATAAATCGGCTTTTGCGGATTTCAATTCGCCTGAAAAGTAAAACGCAAAGTGATTGTGAAAACGGCAACCTACCTGATTATGGTTAGGTTAGGTTACCTAATCTACCTGGTTATACTTTTTATAGTATGGTATGGTATTTGTGGTAAAAGTGGATACGTGTAACGCAGAGAAGGAAACGTTTCCGACCCCAGAAAGTAAATATAGATATAGATATATACATATACATTAGGCTGGGCCAAACATTTTTTTTTCGAAATTTAAACGGGACACCCCCTAGGTTTGTTACCTTGGATTTAATAGTAATTTACATGTTTTTATTTTTATTTTTTTTAATTTTTTAGAGGTTGCTACCGAATTTTACAAAAAATTTTAATCAAGCAAATTCAAACAACATTTTTTTGCTGAATGAGTTAGATAATTGGTGAAATCTATTGTATATATATTGATTCCATTCATATCGTCATTAATCAGTTATTGGCAGTAGAAAACCTTCTCAAGTTTTTGCGAAAAAGTTAACTAAATATATCAACCTAAGCTGTCTTTTTATACAACAAATCGAATCTTAATTGCTAAAGAAAAAAAAGATGACTTATTTGATGCATTTCATGAATTTGACACCATTACCAGGAAATTGTGCCCTTTTTATAAATAATAGTGAATAGAATAGTGAAGTAGTCCGAACAGTTGATTATTCTCTTTTAAACATAACATGGGCCTTTTTATATAAGCGGGCACCAACTCGTTATAACAGCAGTCAATTTTGCGCTTAACAGTGCAGGAGCAAATAAATCGGCTTTTGCGGATTTCAATTCGCCTGAAAAGTAAAACGCAAAGTGTATATACATATACATTAGGCTGGGCCAAACATTTTTTTTTTCGAAATTTAAACGGGACACCCCCTAGGTTTGTTACCTTGGATTTAATAGTAATTTACATGTTTTTATTTTTATTTTTTTTAATTTTTTAGAGGTTGCTACCGAATTTTACAAAAAATTTTAATCAAGCAAATTCAAACAACATTTTTTTGCTGAATGAGTTAGATAATTGGTGAAATCTATTGTATATATATTGATTCCATTCATATCGTCATTAATCAGTTATTGGCAGTAGAAAACCTTCTCAAGTTTTTGCGAAAAAGTTAACTAAATATATCAACCTAAGCTGTCTTTTTATACAACAAATCGAATCTTAATTGCTAAAGAAAAAAAAAGATGACTTATTTGATGCATTTCATGAATTTGACACCATTACCAGGAAATTGTGCCCTTTTTATAAATAATAGTGAATAGAATAGTGAAGTAGTCCGAACAGTTGATTATTCTCTTTTAAACATAACATGGGCCTTTTTATATGAGCGGGCACCAACTCGTTATAACAGCAGTCAATTTTGCGCTTAACAGTGCAGGAGCAAATAAATCGGCTTTTGCGGATTTCAATTCGCCTGAAAAGTAAAACGCAAAGTGATTGTGAAAACGGGAACCTACCTGATTATGGTTAGGTTAGGTTACCTAATCTACCTGGTTATACTTTTTATAGTATGGTATGGTATTTGTGGTAAAAGTGGATACGTGTAACGCAGAGAAGGAAACGTTTCCGACCCCAGAAAGTAAATATAGATATAGATATATACATATACATTAGGCTGGGCCAAACATTTTTTTTTTCGAAATTTAAACGGGACACCCCCTAGGTTTGTTACCTTGGATTTAATAGTAATTTACATGTTTTTATTTTTATTTTTTTTAATTTTTTAGAGGTTGGTACCGAATTTTACAAAAAATTTTAATCAAGCAAATTCAAACAACATTTTTTGCTGAATGAGTTAGATAATTGGTGAAAAATATTGTATATATATTGATTCCATTCATATCGTCATTAATCAGTTATTGGCAGTAGAAAACCTGCTCAAGTTTTTGCGAACAAGTTAACTAAATATATCAACCTAAGCTGAATTTCTTGATTTTCACCAATCGATAAATTTTTAACAGTAACTAAAAAAACATTAAAAAAACCTTATTATCAATATGAAATAGTTTCTGAGTTTCAATATTATTTGAAAAAACCGACGAATTAAATTTTTTTAATGTATATTTAACCATAAAAGCGTATTTTCTTTTCGTGGTAGCAACCCTCAAACTGTAAACTAACGAGAAGGAACGTGTGAGTCGCTTCTGGGGACGCGACTCTACTTATACCCGTGCTCAGTCAGTATATACATTTTTGAGTCTATAATTTTTTAGAATTTTGGTATTAAAAAAAAATTTTACATTTTTTACATTTTTTTGCTACATATGTTATCTACATATACATATACAATGTATATTATACATCTAACATGTAGATTAAACATGTACCATTTAGATTCTACATCTCCTCCGTTGCTCGCGCACTGAATGCAGCATAGTGTACGAGCGAAATGAGTTGCGTTGTCGTTGTCAGGAGGGGGCAGGGGAAGCGACTGAAAATGAATTTCTTCATTCTGGCTATAATTATGATCCGATCTAATTCAGATTCGGCAATCTGGTAGATATGGTCATTCTCTACAATACTGCGTTTTTTGTGGGGGCGGAAGGGGGCGGGGCGAAATTTTGAAATACACTTGTAGAAGTGTGATATCACATGAGTCTGGAAACCAAATTTGGTTGCCCTAGCTCTTATAGTCTCTGAGATCTAGGCGCTCAACAAGACGGACAGACGGACGGACAGACGGACATGGCTATATCGACTCGGCTATTGATGCTGATCAAGAATATATATACTTTATGTGGTCGGAAGCGTTTCCTTCTCTGCGTTACACACATCCACTTTTACCACAAATCTAATATACCCCTTAACTCTTTTTTGAGTACGGGTATAAAAATGGCTCATTTCAGTAAAACTTCCTTTACGTCAAACGTGTGCATGGTTAGGTTAGGTTTATAGGGCTGCTCGACTGAAGTCGAGGTCACTCGGAGGCAAGTCTGCCCATTGTGATGCCCACACTCGTCACGGGATATTGTCCGGTGCCTAGGGAGGTTTCGCGAACCATCCCGAGGCCTCTATAAAGAGCACCAGTTTCTCTAGAGGCATGTTTGCCAGGCTGTCCAGATCTTCGTAGAAGGCGCCACCGAGTATTCGGTGACGTCTCCCCATGAGTGCAGGACAGTTGCAGAGAAGGTGCTGGATGCTCTCTATTTCCTCCTCGTCTCCGCAGCTGCGGCAGAAGTCATGGTGGGGCAGTCTGTACCTTGTGGCCATGCGGCCGATGACACAGTGCCCCGTTATAACTCCCGTCAGTGTTCGCACCCGACTCTTCCTGAAGCTTAGGAGAGTCTTGGTGCGTTTAAGGTCGTAGTGCGGCCAGAGCGAGCGAGAGATCTCACAGTTTGGTGTGGTGTTCCACCTCCTGTCCGATCTCGTTCTGGCTCGGCCCATCATCTGCGAGATGATGTCTCGTAGTGGTCTCCTTATGTCGCTGACTGCGTCCGCCATTGGCTTGGCCGATCCATTTCTGGCACACTCGTCCGCACTCTCGTTGCCCGCTATGTCGGTGTGACCCGGAACCCACGTGAGTGTGATTGAGTGCGCGCTGATCTGGTTTAGTGCGTCCACCGTATCACGTACGAGTCTGCTTGTGGTCTTGCAGGATACCAGGGCTTTGATGGCAGCTTGACTGTCAACGCAGATTGCTATGTTCCTCGGAGGTATCTCCAAGGTGTATACCAACTTTGCCGCTTGCCATACTGCATATATCTCCGCCTGGAATACACTGCACCAGTCTGGTAGTCTTAGGGATATGTTGGTTGCTAGTTCTTCGGAGAAGATTCCAGCTCCTGTCCCTTCGGCCGTCTTTGACCCGTCGGTGAAAATGGAGAGCTCGTTCTGCCCCAGGACAGTGTTACTCTTCCATTTCTCCCTATCCGGTATGTGTCCTTTAAAGTTTCTTTTCCATGAGAACTCTGAGACACAGTAGTCACTCCACCTGGCCGTTCCACTATCTTCCATACGGAGTATAGTGGCGTGGCCATAAGGCGATGGCTTGAAGAACTGCGCGGCTAATAGCCTAGCGGCACTTGTCTCAGCCTTGCACTTAAGATGAAGGTCTATCGGTTCCAGGCCTAAC